GTCAACAAGGCAAATATGAGAACGATTCTACGTAGCAAGCAAAGCAATAGCAATCGCGTGGTGCTATGTAGTAACTGACGTGGTCTCTCAAACCGCGAACAACTGCACTTGCCAAATCCACTCGAAGTGATGGCGAATTAAGCGCCAGCCACGTCCTTGATTCGGAATATAGCAGCCCTTCAACGAAACCCCCAGACTTCTCACCAACCTCCATCTCAGCCAACATGTTCTTCGGACGTGTTCTGACCGGTCTAATTGCCCTTTCGGTTGCAGCATTCTTCTGCGTTCAGTCAGTTGAAGCTAAAGGTCCCAGAATCACTCACAAGGTTTACTTCGACATCAAACATGGTGACGAGGACCTTGGTCGTAGTACGTGCTTATGCCTCTGTTCTCTGCGTACCATTTAATGAATGATGTGTTTCACAGTTGTGATGGGTCTTTATGGTGGAGTCAGTGTCTTCTTACTGTAACATACTACCCTGCCTGAACTCGTTGTGCTAGACCGTCCCCAAGACCGTTGAGAACTTCCGTGCATTGACTACGGGTGTCAAGAAGGACGGCACGAAGCTGGATGAAGGTTTTGGATACAAGGGCTCCAAGTTCCACCGTGTCATTAAGAACTTCATGATTCAGGGTGGTGATTTCAGTGCGTCCACGATGATTCTGTTCCTCCAAGCAATCGTGACTGAATACACCTTCCTGTAGCTCGCGGTGATGGCACAGGAGGCAAGGTTGGTCGTTTCGTGCTCTTACTCCGTTTACCATTGCTTGATAACTCTTTCTGCAGTCTATCTACGGTGATAGGTTCGCCGACGAGAACTTGTAAGCTCCGCACATGTCAGTTCGTTTATCGTGGGCTGATGTTCATCTCATGAAGCAAACTCCGTCACACCAAGCCTGGCATTTTGTCTATGGCTAATGCGGGCAAAGATACAAATGGTGCGCTTCATATCATCAATAGTTAAATGCGTCCTTAACACTGTCATTCGTAGGGTCACAATTCGTGAGTTTTTCATACTGACAGTCCAATCTCGTTATTGACATTTACCTTGCCAAGTTCATAACTACCGTTGTGACCTCGTGGCTCGATGGCAGACATGTAGGTCTTTGAGGTCACTCTTGCTTGCGTGAATCAGCTCACGAGACATTCTCAGGTCGTCTTCGGCGAAGTACTTGAGGGCATGGACATTGTCAAAGCAATCGGTACAGCAATTTTCCTTTTGGTGGAGCCCAAACTAATATCATATACAGAGGCTGTTGCTACCAATAGGAGTGACCGTCCCTTGGAGGACGTCGTCATCGTTGACAGTGGAGAGGTATGTTTCTACGCCTAACCGGTAGAATCATACTGATGATTTCCTCAGCTCCCAGTTGAGACCGCATCGGAAGACAGTGAAAAAGAGGTGCCTACCCACGTCGAGCTTTAAGTTCAGGCGCAGTTCTGATAAAATTGCTCTTATTGCTACACTTCTTGGATCACTCGTTCTATCGTTGTCGTACACTTCGCAACATCAAAACACAATTCAATGGATCGGTTCTATTATACTTTCTCTTCTACCTTCTCATGCCACCAGGCGACAAGCTCTACACCTGTTTCCCAGCCCACAACGTCTCCGGTTATCTCAGATGCCAAGCCTGCCGAAGACATCTCTATGCCCACTGATATCTCCTCCACTCCTTCAGAGACCGTTGTCGACTCCGAAGAAGGCTGGGACTTCTTCAACTACATTCTCTCCTTTGCTCTCATTTCTGCTGTTGGACTTCTCTTATGGTGGCTTGGACTTGGACGTGTCGTGAAGAGGTGGGCCGAACAACGGTTTGGTAGAAACTCGGCACAATATCGACGACTGGATGACTTGGAGAAATGATGAGTATCCTTGTCTCGTTTTCATTGAAATCACGATGCGGTTATTGCGTTCCAGCTGTGCATACATGGAAGAATAAGTGTACTCTCAGACTGATGCGACTTGTGGCATGTCCCATCGCTCGTCATGAGCAAATGTTAAGTTGGTAACATTCCGCAGCTGTCACTGATACCCCTGCAATCCAAAGGTTAAAATGTTGCTATTCACGACCTTGAAATGATTCAAGCATGCCTTTCGGAGTGCTTGGAAGGCTCCGGTATGCGCTTGGTGCTCACTGTTACCACGATACCCCAAGGCGGCGGTACTAGGCTCTTCTACTATATAGATTGTGCCGGGTTCTTCAGTTTGACACAGATCAGTTTCACATACAACCTACAGAGGTGAGTGGGTCCCCGTGTGCCTATCCGGGCAAAGCTCGTTTCCCTCGATATCTACTTGGTCATGCAGTACGCCATTGTGCTCGTGACTATTGCATACCTTTTCACCTCCGTTGCGGCCACGCCCATGCCGTATTGATCTCACGTTACTCCTGTTGACGTAGAGGGTCTCTCTATGGAGAGACGCGATTGTTGGCCGTGAGTACCAATTAGATTGTCTCCGTAGGACGTATTGCTGACCGTTGGCTCGGTCACGGGGCTAATCATATCAGCAGAATCGCCCGTCATCTCGTGCGCCCTGCGGATATCCCAACTTGAGTCGGGGGATGTAACCAGTAAGGATTGACGTTGTATCCACTCTCGTAGGCTTCAGCTTAGCGGGTTTGCCTTACCCACGCATTGCGCACATACCCAACGAACCACTCAATGCGGCAAGTCTCAACTAAAGTATGCTTCCATGATAGCATGTTCGGTTGGTCCGAATACCTGTGTACTTATTCCCTTTGCTCAAAGGCTGCTACCTTCCGCCGAAAAATTGGAAGTTCACATATCGTGCCTTTCTCGGCAAGATTCCGATGCACAAAGCAAAATTCCGATGCACAAAGCGGGTATGAAGGTTGCGCTCTGTTATTCACTCCCACCGATTAACAATGAAAAGCATGTGCAATGTTTCAAAGTGACGATGATAACGATGAATCCTGGTATGTCTATCTCACGATACCCCAAGCCGGTAGTTTCTACTTCTGGCGTCCAGGGCTATTAACACTACCTCTGTCGTATAAAAAGTGTCGGTCCCTCCAGCTTAACAGCAAGCAGCCCCGCATACGACCCACACAGGTGAGTGATACGAGCATTCTCAATCCAGCGGACTATTCTCACATTATGCATTATTCGCCCTCAACCAGTCAACCATGCGCTTCTCTATCGTCTTTGTTGTTGCTGCGCTCTTGTTCACCTCCGTTGCAGCCACACCCATACCGTGCTGCCCTGTTGCCTCCCCGGAGGGAATTGAGGGACGCTCCGTAGAGAGGCGACAGTGTGGCCCGTAAGTATCGCACGAATGGCTTGCTCGCGTAGGGCACGTTGCTGACTATTTTTGATAACAGGCCCGGCCAGTGCTGATACTGACCCTGACAGTACGAAGGATGCTTGCTGAGACAGTCAATGTATCATCAGGCTTGTATGAGTACAATAGCAATTGTCGTCCATGGGATATCGAAATGACTGGGTGGCAACGTTCGAAGGGGGGGATCTGTATTCACCTGACACCGTCGTGAACGTAAAGCATACAATCCTATAAATGGATCCGATTCTCCATTTCAAAGACTGTCTATTGACGAACAATGCTCTCCTACTCATCAACTCCGCGCGAGCCCGGACAGGGACCAGACAGGTATGATAAGAAGCCTCTTGATCCACTGTATGACAACAACCGTCGGCCTTGAAGGGGATGCAGACTGCAGTAAAGCAACATGATGTGTTATAAATCCTGCCATCGGCTTCACAGTCAAGCCGACTCAACTGTGGGATACCCTGGATTTGGCTGCCTTCGTAATGTCAACCTCGAGCCAGACACTAAGGAGTCGCGCACGAGGACAAGACGGCGTACTGGATGCCGGCGCCGACTACACTTGCACTTCGTTCATCGGCGGTACACACGCAAATGCCCTACGGAGAAGGACGGAAATGTGATGCACAGACATGTGGTCTGGTGTAAAGACTGTCACTGGTTGATGTCAGTGATGGAAAAATGCAAATAGTAAGTCATAAGAGGATTGCCGCCACTATCCGGGCTCTCACCTCGTACGATAGTCCATTCCCTGAGGGGGCATATAAGAGGCTAGCATATCCATAGAATTAGATTAACCCGTCTTCTGCTTGAAGTTGGTGAGTGCCCAACTGCACCGGGATAGTAGGGTGTCACTTACCGTCAATGCAGGTATTCTGCAGTTCTACATCTCGACATGCGTGTCTCTGTGATCCTTGTCGTTATTGGTACACTCCTTGCGACCGTCGTAGCCATTCCGGCACCATGCGGTCCCAACACGCCTCCTGTCGACATCACGGATACTTCTCTCGACAAGAGACAGTGCGGAGTGTGAGTCCACTCTGATAGTGTATTGTTTGAATACAGTATACTCACCTATTCACTAGAACGATCTGCTGCTGAGTCGTACGCGCGTAAAGTTTCGTGCCCTCGCATTGCAACTGAAATGATACAACGTGATAAATGCTCACGTCGGTGTATATTATGCATGCATATCTTGCTCAAGAGGCGGCCCCGGGTCGTCCGAATGTCATACTTTGTGATGTTGAGTAGAGAGGAACACGATCCGTTATCAGCAACCTTTGGCAAGACTTAGTCTCCCAACGGCAGACGAGACAGACAATTATTTCCTCGTCCCTCGAATGCTGGTGCCTACGAGCACACCCTATCACTGCCATCTGAGCGTACGACGGTCAGTGTTTTTCTCGTTGTACCTTACCTAGGCCTCCGCTCGAGAACAGCCTTTCGCTTCTTGGAATATGGTAGGTAGCTTGAATAATTGACAGCCTGAGATACTATGACTTTTCATCGGGTGTCATTCTGCGACACTGATTGGGAGTGAAGTAAAGGTATGATCCACGGAGAGACTGGCTCAAAATTTCTGTCCAGAGCATCTGAATGACGCCAACTGAGATGTAAGTGCTGCTGTTAGGTTACTATAACAAAAAATGTAGTGGTGGTGGTCGCAACTCAACTTGATGAGCAAAAAGATGCTCCCAGTGAGGGTCGAACTCACGACCTCAGGATTGCATCTCGAATGAGATGTCATACAGAACCGTATGAGACCTGCGCTCTAACCAACTGAGCCATGGAAGCTTGTCAGTAGAGCATTTCACCTCAATATAGACGGATCGTAATACAAATAACCTGATGGAACGACATACTTACCAAGAATCAGCAATACTTTCGGCCATAGGAAGTCGTTAGGGATGAATCATAATGCCCGCATAGATAAAGCACGGATCGTAACCGCCTCCCAATGTAGTGACCCAAGAAAACCCAGGCAGCTGGGTGGTTAGAGGGATTCCTAACAGCTGATGTCACATCGCAGTCCCGGAGAACTCAAAGAAATGATCCATTCATACCGAACTTTCCAAACCGAATGAACAACTATATTGTTGAGTTGTCAGGCCAGCTGATTCATGGAAGGTCAACTGCGCTCAGACTAACTGAGCCACAGAAGATTGGCGCTCCAACCAACTGAGCTATGGGAGGTCATTGGCGCCCCGACCAACTGAGCCATCGAAGCCTCAAGTATTTTTGTGGAGGAGCAAACGACATTTCTATTCCCAAGGAGATGGAAATGAGTCCATGTTTCATACCAGCCATAAGAGACAGCAGAGCACAAGCACCAGGGTATAAGTAGAGAGAAAAAGGTATAGCCGCGAAGCAGAGTTTGTTGCGGGTATCTATTTTCCCCTTATCTTGATCATCATCTTTATCTGTTCCCATGCTATCTTCTTATCTTGATCATCTGTGTCTCTCTGATTTCCTTTTCTGGCGTAACCCATGTAACACTATCTTGGCATTCTCACATGACCCACTGCTGACTCAACTCAGTTCTCCTTTTGTACCTTCTTTCCCTCGGACTCGTTATGACTCGTCCTCGTTTCCTCTTTTGTCTTATTCTTCTCATTTTTCCTTGGACCTACTTCCTCTATATAAAGGGCTCTGTCTTGTAGCTAGTTCCCCATCTTTGCCTATGAGATAATACACTCTAACTCTTGCATCACTCTCGACTACTTACCCTCGACCCTTGGATCTCGGACTCGGGTGACGCCTTCGAACCCCTGGATTGTTGAATTAGAACTTGTTGCTTGAGTTATCGAGCTACGCTCGTAACAAAAGGCCAAGATCTATCAACAGTGCAGCCACTTATACTGTGGTCTGCCAAACCAGTAACCCAGAACTTGCGCACCCTCCCCAGACTTCTACGCTGCCTGGCTAGGGTAACGCCAGGAGCGGTAGCACACAGACACCACGGCACCCCGGAATAACAACCGACACCAACCACCTACCAACGCTCGGTATCAGAGAGGTGTCTGGAATCTTGACGGCCGCGATATCTACCACGATCGTGTGTGGACATACGTAGACAATCAACAAACCGTACCATCCACA